CGGATAATCCAAGTAGTTTTGCAATGTTTTAAAAATCAAATCCCTTATTTAAAACCGTCGCACAGAAAGAACTCGAGATCCAACCCCCACTCCAAATTATACTCTAAATATTCCAAGAAGAAATAGTCCCAATCTTACACCAACTTCCAACTCTGGCACCCTGGCTTGGACTCCAAGGCCTCCTCCAGCAGTGACACGTTGCTGGTAACGAGGAGGGGCTCAGACCTAAGGACGGCACCCCCGCCCCAGACCCAGATTGGGAAGGAGCATGTCCCTGTCCTTTGGGCCAGTATACTGGCCTCAGAACCAGCTGCTCCCTGTCCCCTGGGGTACGTGTCCTGGCCTTGGGCTTCTGTCCCACGAGGGGGAAATGGGGAGGCCCAATCCCAAGAGGAGTCTAGGTCTGGCTGCTGCTCTCTGGCCAACGTACTGTGTTGCCCTGAGCAAGCTCATCCCCCCTCTGAGCTTTCCACGCCCTTGTGGATATGTGGGCCACCCTGCCCGCCCTGACTGTGGGTTGCCAGGGTATAGACACTGTGCCCCCAGAAGCACCCCCAGGGCCACGCCTGCTCATCCCAAGAGCACCTCTGCCTGTACAGGCCCCTGCAGCTCCCTCGCTGCTTCATGGGCCTTTCCTTGCCCTTCTGCAAAATGGCTCACAGCCTAGGCCCCCTCTGGCTCTGGTCTCAGGCCTGGCAGGGCTGGGGATGGTGTCTCCTGGAGGAGGTTCTATGAAGAGAGGGAAGAGGAGGGCAGGAGGTGAGGGCAGGCAGGGCTAGGCTGGTGCCAGGAGGCATCAAAATTCATCCCCACATCATCCCGCCAACCACTCCCCCTACTTCCTACTGCTCAGGGGGCCAAGCCCAGGCCCCTGGCCTCCAGGACCGCCCAGGAGAGCCATAACCCCTTTTCCAAGCCAGCCTTGGGCAAGGTATCAGCCCAAGAATTGTACCCCTGGCAACTCCACGACACAGTATCCCCCACAGGCCCCTTCTCCCTAACCAGGCGGTAAAGGGGCAAGGCCTCTCCCTTCTGCATAGCCCTGTCCTGGCCACCTCGGCCCATCTCACTCACCTGGGCACGCAGACACTGCACACCACCTGACAGGCCCCTGCTGCTCCCACCTGGACGCACCCCCAACCTGTACTGACAGAAGTTGGCCAGCCCCACCACTCTGCCTCCCAAATGGCTGCCTCCACTCCTTGCCCACCTGCCCCCTGATTCCCTCCATGTGGCCCTGCCGGGGCACCCCAGGGCCCCCCCAATCCTGAGGGACCAACAGCTGAGGCTGCCCCGGCACCTCTGGAGCTGCCTGGAAATCCAGCCATACCAGACCCACAGCAAATTCGTGGGATGCAGCTGTGCTGAGGAAGGGGACAGGAATCTGGCCAGAGCCTGCCCACCGCTAAGCCAAGGGCAATGGCGCGTAAGCCACTCTCTGGCCTGTTTCCCTTCCTGCTCTGCCCAGACCCCTCAATCCCCAAGGTGGGTAACAAATGAGAAAACTGAGGCCGAGAAAGGAGAGCACTTACCCAAGGGGACCCAGACGGTAGGGATGGAGCTGGGGCAACTCTCCCAGCCCGTCCTTACCCAGCGAGGCTGGGAGCAGAGGAGGGTCCCTGGGTCACCTGGCTCACAGCCGCTCCGCTGCCAGCAGGTGGAGCTGTGGTCATGAGGAGGGAGGGGCTCCCCTGCCTCTGCACTCAGGGTGGGGCAGGTGTTCTGCCCTAAGTCTGCCCAGAAACCCAGCTGCCTCCCCTTCCCTCCGCAGCCTCCCCAGCCAAAAAGCCCCACCCAGTAGGCGGGAGCCTGGATGGGTTGGGGGTGGGGGACAGCTGCCGAGAGGCCCAAGAAAGGGTCAGGAGGCAACTCCTGCGAGAAGGGACCCGCCAGGCAGGGGAGCGCAGGCCTGCGGGGGTAGGGATGGGCACCACAGTCCCCGGCTCCCAGAGCTGGCGACAGCCGGCTGCACTTCCAAATCTGCTCCAGGGGAGTCTTGCGAGTACTGGGGCTGGTGAGGGAGGGTGTAGACAGCAGGCCCTGGGCACACCCTGTGCTGGGAACCTGCGTGGGGGAAGGAGGAGGAGGCGTGGCCAGCCCTGCTCCCGCTGGCCTGGTGCCTGGTCCTGCCGCTGGCCCACGCGAGGCAGTCCGCAGCCCCACCCTCAGCCACCGCGCTGGGAGCGGCTGTCCTACGCTGCCTGTTCTCTGGCCACACAGCTGCGGAGAGGGGACCCCTCGCACTACGGGGGCTGGCAGGAGCTTAGCCCAGGGACAGAAACAGAAGGGGGAAATCCTGCCTGCCTCCTCGAGATAAGGCTGCCCGGCCAGGCTACCAGTCTCGAACCCGCACCAGCGGGGAGAGAGGAAGGCCCCCAGTATCCCAGTCCCCCACCAAGAGCACCGCTTCCCAGGACTGAGGTCCTCAGGGAGCCCCGCCTCGGACCCAGAGTCCAGTGCCGGCCACACCCTCCGGCTCTCGCTGACAGGCTCTGCAAGTGGCCCCATCACCTGAATCAGGACACTGGTTGTTGACAGTCACCAAAGCCCCACCTCACAGAGGAGGATGTGGAGTGACATGCCTGAGCCAGGCCCAGTTGGTCAGGCTGCTGGCACCTGGCATCTTTCCTGATGCCCTTCCCCGCCTCCCTGGGTCCCCCAACGCCCTGGCCTCAACACTACCATTAACACTCCTTCGGTGCAAACTTGCACCCTGAGGAGGGAGCCCAAGACCCAGCTCAGCCCCTTGCATGACAGGGTGGGTGCGGGTGGTACCACAGTGAAAGCCGAAGAGGACACCGGCCCAGCCCAGAAAAGTTGCCTCCGCACGAACTGGACTATTCTGGGGCAGGGCGGGAGCTGGCAGGGCAAGGGGAAGTGTGTGTGGGGGGGAGGAGCAGATCCTGGGCAGGAGTCGGGGGCTGGGCGCAGGAGGGGAGAAGGAACAGAGGCTGGGGAGTGCAGAGGCTCCCCGACATGCCTGCTCCACAGCCGGGTCCAAATGGAGGACTCCCAGCAGCCACCAGCTAAATGAGCGTACTTAGATGGCCCAGAACAGGTCTGTGGGGGAGGAGGTGGACTTTGCTTAAACAAAACCCAAGTTTGCAACTAAACTGGCAGCCCCAGGGCCCCACCTCTGGCCTCCAGGTGGGAGAGCATGGTTGGGTGTATTTCCAAGTCACCAAGGCCCTGGAGGCTGGAAGGGAGGCAACTGACTCTCTAGTGGTCAGAAAAGTCCATCCTGGGTGGGAGGAATGGCCCCTTCCAGGCTTGCAGGTGTGTGTGCACACGTGTGTGCTCATGGGATGTGCGTGCTCAGGGCGTGTGTGCACTTATGTGTCTGGCCTGAGCTCCTCCCTCTGAACACCCATGGACAGCTCTGAGTGAGGCCACGGAGGTGGGAGTCCCGTGGGAGTCACTGCCCTCAGGCTGGAAGCTGGGTGCCCACCCAGACACAGGAACAGGCCGCCAGCCGCACTGTGACCTCACCCAGTCGTGGAACTTGATGAGGAAAGGGCCAGGCCGGCTGACTGTCACGAGACCCACAGACTCCTCAGCAGCATCCCCACCCCTCCCCGGTGCTTCTCGAGATAACTCTCTTGGGATGAGGCGGGCAGAGCCAGCTCAGGCTCCTGCTTGGGGGAGGGGGGGGGGGTCTGTGTCTGCCTCCAAGGCTGCAAGGTCTGTGTCTGCCTCCAAGGCTGCAGTGGGAGGGAGGGGCGGGGGGGGCGGGGGAGCCCGCCTCAGTCCCCTAGACCTGCGAGCTGGGCTCCTCACACACCCAGAAGCCACTCCCCACTGCAGCCCAGCTGCACCCATGAGGCTGTTCACATGAGAAATCACGTGAAGGTAAGCCCTCTCCCGAAACAACCTTCCACAGCTCCCTGGTGCCGTCTAGCCCTAGCCGGCATCCACAGCCTCTCCAGCCCTCACTGCCTGCCTGGGCCGTGGCTCTCTCCTGCCTCTGGTCTTTCTCAGGCTGTTTTCTCTGCTGGGCAAATCCACAGACTAAGCTTGGCCACCCTGCTATGGCTTCTGGGCGCTGCTTGGTCCCTGGTCCCAGAACACTTGCTCATCAAGCACTCAAAGCCTGGCACACGGTAGGTGCATAATAAGTGCTAATGCAGGCAGTGCATAGGAAAAGGGAAGGAGCTGGTCAGATCTCCTGGAAAGGCCTGGTAAGTCTAGGGGGGATGGGGAGGCAGCAGGGGTCCCAGTTCATCTCCTTCTGCTCCTGGAGAAACTGAGGCACAGGGTGGCACAACAGCCACCTCTCCAAGGGATTTGGCAGCCAAAAAGAGCAACCCCACGCTCCCACTCATCCCAGGCGGGCTAGCCCCAGCCGGTTTCCCTGGGCTGGAAGGCCAGCCCCACATATGTCCAGGACAGTGTGACCCTGTGATGGGGCTGCCCACCGCCCCAGGCCCCCGCAGCCCACCTCAGGCTCCCCCAGGAGAGTGAGCCTGGGCTTGGGAACCAAGCAGCCTCCACAGCTAGCCAGGGCCCCCATGTACCAAGCAAGCAAGGTCATCTGAGGACTCCTCCGCAGGATACACGTCCGCCTCAGGGACTTGCACACCTGTGGCTGCCCTGCATGCAGGTGCACTTGACATTAACTTCCCCCACACCCAGACTCCCTGCAAACGAGAGCCACTGTCCCCTACCTGCCCAGGGCCCACAGCTCGGTGTCCTGCCACACACCTTGTATGCCCTGGGCTCAACCAGCACCTCAGGGGCCAGGAGCCAGGAAAAGGGGCTCCAGGGCTTTCTCCCTGACATCTCTGCCCAGCCCGCTGGCCCTGGCTGGAGCCACGGTGAACTAACACCCCTGTCCATCAGCTGTGGGTCAGGGGGATGCCCAGCCCAGCTCTGTTCCTCTAGCCCTCCTTGCTGGCGGCCTGCTGGTCCCCACAGACCCTCGGAGCAGTGAGGCAAGTAGGTGCCCAGGGCTGACCGGGAAGGGGCCCGAGGTACAGGGGGTGAGCACAGGAGCCACTTACCAAGGAAGCCACAGACGCTCTCCCAACTGGCCCAGAAGTGAAGATCCCAACTGGCCACCTCCCCCAGACACGCCCAGTTCTTCCCTCCACAGCTCCTCCCCCCATTGTCCCACCTCCGCCTGCTTCTAGGGCTGGCTCTGAGCCCTGCCAGGACACAGACGCCCCACCAGCGGGACTGGGTGGGTCACCTGATGGGCCAGGAGCCAGACCAGCCCCCAACACTCACGCAGTTTCTTGGAGCTGGGGACCCCACCCCGAGTGCCCCCCCAGCCTGAGCAGCTGACTGCAGAGGAACAGACCGCTCTGAGTCACACAGCCAGCCCAGCCTGGCTAGCGCCTTAGTGGGCAGCAGGTCCTGCTGTGTGGACAGACACAGGCCTGAGGCAGGTCCCTCCCCGGGGGTGAGGGGGCACTGGGCCAGTGGCCTTAGGGCCTGGTCAGCTGCCACCTGCCTGAGGTCCCAGGGCAGCCGACCTCAGCCTCCTTTCAGCCCTCTCAGCCCAACTCACGGCAGCCCCCACCCCTCAAAGCACCAGGGTATCTGGCAAGCAGGGTGTGGTGGGGCTCAGGAACCAGCAATTTTTTTTTCATAGACGGGGTCTTGCTGTTGCCCAGGCTGGAGTGCAGTGGCTATTCACAGGTGCAATCCCACTACTGATCAGCACGGGAGTTTTGACCTGCTCCATTTCTGACCTGGGCCAGTTCACTACTCCTTAGGCAACCTGGTGGTCCCCTACTCCCGGAATGTCACCATATTGATGCTGAACTGAGTGTGGACACCGGGATGGCATAGCGCACTGCAGCCCAGAACTCCTGGGCCCAAGTGATCCTCCCACTTCAGCCTCCCGAGTAGCTGGGACTACAGGCACACACCACTGCGCTTAGCTGGAACCAGCATTTTTGAAACAGGGTGTGTCTCTGTTGCCCAGGTTGGAGTGCAGTGGTGCAATCATGGCTCACTGCAGCCTCAAATTCCTGGACTCAAGCCATCCTCCCAAGTCAGCCTCCCAAGTGGCTGGGGCTCCAGGTGACACGACCATACCTGGCTACTTTTTAAATTTTTTTGGAGAGATGGGATCCTACTATATTGTCCAGGCTGGTCTCATATGCATGGGATCAGGCGATCCTCCCTCCTTGGCCTCCCAAGTAGGTAGGGCTGAAGGCACACACCAGCATGCAGTGAGGCGAGCAGGCAGGCGCCTGGGGCTGACCGGGAAGGGAGCCTAGGTGCGGGGGGTGGACACAGGAGCCACTAGTTTTTAATTCTTAATTTAAATTTTTAGGCTAATTTTTAAATTTTTTGTAGAGACGGGGTCTTCCCATGTTGCGCAGGCTAGTCTCAAACTCCTGGGCTCAAGTGATCCTTCTGCCTAGCCTCCCGAAGCGCTGGAATTCCAGGTGTGAGCATCCGCACTGGCCTAGCATTTTTTTAAACTAGGTTTCCATCCTTTCCAGTCATTTTGATACAAGTGGTGGCTGAGAAACACCCAAGTCCCATGACCCCAAGTCCCCCACTCTCCAGGGCTCCAGCTGCCTGGCCCACCTCCTGGTCACCTCTCCCTGCTGCAACCCAGGCCCTCAGCCCCCACTCCTCTTTGCTCTGGGTGGCCAGCAGAACCTGGCAGGACTCACCCAGCTGTGCTACGGGTAGACTCCCTGGGATCCCAGGTGCCAGCCCTGTGCCCATAGCCCAGGTGGGGACCTGCCTCCAACAGGCAGTCTGGAGCAGGCCCGCACAGCTAACGCCCAGCCCAGGGCTCAAGGGCAGCGAGGGGTCACACCTGCCCAGGAGGTCAGCAACGGAACAGCCTGTACCCGCACCAGACCCCAGCGGCACTCAGAAGGCATGGGAAGATGTGGCTGAGGAGGCTGAGTCCCCATGGAATGCCAGGGTGGCATGAGGGGGGCACAGAGAGAAGGGGTCCCCAAGCAGAACAGAGGACTCCAAGGGCAAGAAAGGCTCTGTCCCAGCCCCAGGGCAGGGGCATTGGCAGGCAAATGGGGTGGGAGAGACCCCAGGGGGGTCCCACTGGCCGCCAAGCCCCTTCCTAGCCTCCCCACATTGCAATGTCCTAAAGAGGCTGACACAAAAACCTAACGGTCACAAAGGTAGAAAACAACTCTATTTACACTGAGGCAGGAAAGCTGGCCAGGCCTGCTCCGCGGACACACCCTCCACTCCCAGACAGCTCTCACCTGGGAGCGCTGTTTACCTGTTTGCCACCTGACACCTACACTCTGCCAGGCAGGGCAGGGCTGGCTGAGTCAGCACTGTACCCAGAGGCCCAGCCCAGCTGCAGTGGGACAGGAAGGGGACACTGGCTCAGAGCAGGACCATCACACCAGACAAAGCACTGACTCCCGAAAGAGACTTTGCTGGAGCCCCCACCCCAGCGGCCAGAGGTGCCCGCAGAGCTGGCCACATGAGCACTTCCCAGATGCTCGCTGCAGTGCGCCCAGTGTGGTCCACCAAGCCCTGGAACTAGGACTGAGATCTCCCGGCACACCCCTCCCCAACACAGATACCAGGGGAACACGCCACACCCTGCCCCAGGCCCTCTCCAGACTAGGCACGCACCACTGGCTCTCCTGGGACACCCTTGCAGCTCAAACCCTGGACTCGCTCCCTCACCAGGTGGTCAGCACTGAGCCCTTGGCTCCAGAGCCCCTGGCGGTGGGTGCCCAGAGCACCGTGCAGATGCACAGCAAGGAAAGGGGTCAGGCTGGAGGCCCGGGCTGTCTCAGGGTTGGAGAGCCGCACTCCACACCCTGTCCCTGTTGCTGTCCAGTCCCGAGAGGGGCACACTTGACCACCAGCAGGCGGGTGCTGGGCAGGGCCTCGCTCACCTGCCTCAGTTCCCAGGGACTCCACATACCAGACCCCTGGCACCATGTGGCGGGACTCAGTGGTCAGGGCATATGCTGAGCCACCACATCAGGTACCGAAACCGAGGCTGTCCAGCATGTGCCATGATGTGCACTGCACAGCCAGGCCCGGCTCAGAGCTGCCAGGACCCAGGACCAGCTAGGAGTCGCCATGGGAACTCGGCCGCTGGCGGGGCGGGGCAGGGCTGAGGGCAGCGGATGGTGAATCAGCCTGCAGAAGGCCAAGGCATGAAGCTCGGCATTCTCAGGGCGTGTGTCACCAAGGAGCCCATGGTGCTGGCTCACCCAGGAGCCAGGCCTGCCGGGCAGCAGGCGCAGGCCGAGGACCGAGGGCTGGAGCCCTAAACAAAGGGGCCTTCACTCCGCTGGGTGGGGCTGAGTCACGGGGCCTCCCACCCACCCAGGCGCCACCCCTGGGCAGCCCCTCCAGCCTCGGCTCACATGGACGTAGCCCAGTGAGGCTCCCCCAAGTGTCCTGCCCCTGCTTCGTCCCAGGCTCCCCCAGCTGCCCTTGCTTGACTATGCTCTTGGTGGGGTCTAGTCCAGGCAGGGGTGTGGCTTGAGATCCCTTTCCGGACTCCTGCCCGGAACAGCCTTCGCAAGTGCCTGCCCTCCACCACCACCCCTGCAGGGAGTCCCTCCCGAGGGCTCTGCAGAGAGGAGGCCCCAGGCCACTCCCACCCTCACTAGCACACACTGGGTCAGCAAGTCTCTGCAGCAGAGCAGGCAGGGCAGGGACCGGCAGCCGGAGGGGAGGGCGGTGGCTGCAAATGCCTCTGCAGGCCTCTCGGGGTGTGGGGAGGAGGTAGCCCCTCCCAGCCCTTCCCACCCCTGCCTCCTGGGCCCAGCTCCACGTTTCCATTTTAGAAAATGCTTCTGACTATTAAATATTTATCCGAGCAAGGAAGGTCTTGGCTCCCGGCCGGCTGTGGGTTCCAAAAAAAGAAAAATGAAGGATAATCTGGAGGCCCAGGCTGAGCGCAGCTGGAGCCTGGTGGAGAAACACCCTCGAAGCTCACAGTGTGGCCAGGGACCCCGCTGCCCTTAGAGTGGGTGGAGAAGAGCAGGGAGCATGGCCTGTCCTCCCTGCACGTCCACTGAGACTCTGCTAAGCTCCCTCCAGGCTCACCTGGCCTCCGTCGGGGCATGGAGTAGTTCCTTCCAAACAAAACTGCCCTAAGACCTAGGGACTCCCCGGCGCCCCGTTGCCCTCAAGACAAAGGCCTCCCTCCAGCAGTTGGCGCTGTCCCCTCTCCATCGTCCCCAACCGCATCCCAGATGCACTGGGTTGAAAGGCTTGCAGATCCCTGACCTCGCCCCTGGGCTCTGCAAGCTCCTCCTGTCTTCCTCCGCTTCTTTTTCATAACCAGTCCTAGTCTCCATCGGGCTGGTTTCCCTCCAGGGAGCCCTCTCTGGCCCCTCTGTGCCCCCTAAGCCTGCACTGGCCACAGAATTGATTCATGTTTGTTGAATGAACATAGGGTGCATGCTTGCTCTGCTGAGGTAGGACCTTTGGTCCCAGGATCCCTGGGTGGCTGGCTCTGAGACCCAGATCGATGGATAGACAGGCAGCCAGCCAGAGAGGAAGGCACCCCCACACCTCACACCAACCCCAAGACCAAGCTGGGAGAGTGTGGCGGTTTTTTTTTTTTTTTTTTTTTTTTTTTGAGACGGAGTTTCGCTCTTGTTACCCAGGCTGGAGTGCAATGGCGCAGTCTCGGCTCCTGGGTTCAGGCAATTCTGCTGCCTCAGCCTCCTGAGTAGCTGGTATTACAGGCACATGCCACCATGCCCAGCTAGTTTTTTCTATTTTTTAGTAGAGACCATGTTGACCAGGATGGTCTCGATCTCTTGACCTTGTGATCCACCCACCTCGGCCTCCCAAAGTGCTGGGATTACAGGCTTGAGCCACCGCACCTGGCCGAGTGTGGCATTTAACTTCTTTAATGAGTGGTAGGGACCCTCAGACAGCCAGTGCTCCCCACTTGCTGGGGATTTGGGGCCTTTCCTCCCTAGCACCTATACTTCCCCACACCTGGGCAAGCCATCCCCCAGCTAAGCAGCTGCCAGTTGCCTGAAACACAGGGGGCTTCAGCATAGGTGTCACAAGAGGGAGGACACAGAGTGGGTCAGAGGGAGAGCTGG